CCTAGTTTTCTGAGGATAAAAAACTTCTCGTGGTACGAGGCCTTGAGCAATGAAAGCTATAGTGAAGGTCTAGAAAGATTGTTATATGCTGCAGTATATATACGGTGTAATAATCAGTATCACTCATCAATAAAATGTTTCAATAAAAAAATTGTTTTTTTTTTTCAATTACGCACGACAGCACAAGTTTTAAACTATATTCTACATAAAAAATTATTTAACTCCTGTTACAATTAAAAATGTGATAAAAATCATATCAAATTAACTTTTAACGGTTTTTCACTATCCATATTCGACGCATTGTGTTTTATCAAAAATCTAACACAACTGATTTAAATCGACTTTTAACCAAATATAGCTTCTTTTTCTTCACCTCAAGACCCGTTGCAATTCAGTTGCTTCTTTCATTGAGGGGCTCGTACAAATTTTGCCTTTCAGGCCCCTTGAGAGGCTCATAGGCAGATTCTGTTTGAGACCCAAGGATGTGCACTGATGCACATGGTAAACCACCTTCCAAGGTCTGCACATTTTGGTAATCTGATTCCGCAAATAGTGTTTGCACATTCTGGTAATCTGGTGTAGCTGTAACAGGTGTGTTCTTGCTCAAACTTTGGTAAAGATGGCAGTTACCAGAGTTATCGTCAGCAGTACCGTGACAAGCTGTGGATATGGAAAAAATACAAAATATTGTTTAAGTTTTCGATCGGAAATGACCTTGATTGATTAAGTATACCAATCAAAAATTGATCCAGTGACTCTTTCTTTTAAAGTTTTCCAGCTGGTTTTAATCCTGTAGATGATGAAGACATCATGTCATACCTGTGAATTTCCTCGGTCCCAGGTGTGTTTTGTGGTAATATCGTGATCACAATTTTTTTTTTTTGATAGAGACCACCCAAAAACGATCTCATTTCCTCTTTGCTAACTTACCACAAATGTTAATAAGTCCTTGGTATGCCGATTGACCGTCTTGTTCAGCGGAGGTTGAGACGTGCTCCATTAGTCTTCCAATTGGAATTTGATCGTGATTTTCAACCACTTGGTTCCCAACTAAGATCAAACACCATATTTATAAACCAATACAGAAAATATAATTTTTTTCAAAAGCTATTTCAAAGATATATGGTTCTATGGAATAATCGTTATGGATTTTAGACTCGCGTTATTCTTTCAAAAAAAGTTGCCATAGTGTTTCAAAGACAATTATCGTTAACTTAAAGGCCCATTTCCAACCTTGATGCAACGCGCGTCGCTATACCTAATTTCCTGTAACACGAAATTCCCAGATCACTGAAAACCTTCTAAAATCGTCTTTCTCAAGAGCCATCCTGGACATATAGTCAACTGTTTTACGGTAAATACATTCGCCGTTCGTCATTTTACAGTTTCCTTACAGTATTTTAAATTTTGTCTGGAAGAATCCGAAGAAAGTTTTTTTTTTTGTGTCACGCTTGGATCTCTTCATACTCTGTGAACAGAGTCGGCGAAAAGGACAATGTTCAAATTTTTTCACTTTCTAGAAGCGCTTGAGGATTCTAAATGAAGACAAAATATTTCGAATAGAAATTAGTACTTGTCAAAGAGAAATATGGACAAATATCAGACTGCTGGACGTTTCGTTATTCGAAGACCGTGTCCAGTGAAAAGCTAGTGAAAATTTTCTGAGTGTCACGCTTGGACCTCTCCGCACACTATGTACAAGGTCAGCGAAACTGATAACGTTGGTATTTTTTCACTTTCTAGAAGCGCTTGAGGATTTTAAATGAAGGAAGAATATTTTCCAATGAAAAATTGGTATATTTCAGAGAGAAATATGGAGTTATTTGAGGACCGTGTCCAGCCGTGTCATTGAACAGTTTTTAAGCGTCAAGCGGTTGGATAGCTTCGTACTCAGTATACAGGGTTAGCGAAAAACACCAAGTTCGAAATTTTAGGCTGCCTGGAAGCGCTTGAGGATTGTAAATTAAGATAGAACATTTTCGTATAAATATATTTTGGATTTCGAAGAGAAATGTGGAAAAATATCGAACTGCCGGACGTTTAATTATTTTAAGTTAAGTCACTTCATTGCAGGAACGTCAGCGACACTGACAGTTTGCGTTACAATTCTTATTTGCTACTTTGCATGGACAACAACCTCGACCACTCTTTCGAGCGCAAGCTCCTCTCCATGGGCAGGAAACTTCAACTGACCCATTGGTCCTATTTAACAAGGATGGCAAATTTGATGAATGGATGAAAACGTGGTGGATCAACATTTTCACCTTCGAAATAATCGCAAGGATTTTCGTATTCCTCTTTAGCAACAACCGATCCATAAGCGTTTACCGCCTCGGAATCTACAAAATCAATGAATTCATCTGATTCCATGCCGGATTAAAACGTATAGAACTGTTTTAAGCAGAATTATTTTGACAAGCTCTTCAAATTCATCGGAGAAAACGCAGAAGGTATTTTGAGACAACGTGACAAGGTAAAAATAACTGACCAATCAGAGGCGCTATTTAAACAAAAGCGGTGGTTCAAAACAAAAAAAAAACGACCGCGTTGCAAGGTTGGAAATGGGCCTGTAATGCTTTTTTTTTAGTTAATAACAATCGCTGTCAGTAGTAACAAAATGCAATCTTTGGCCAGTCTAAGTGTTAGAGCTGCAAAAAATAACTTAATTACGCATTTGAGACCCATAATGATGCAACTCTCTCAGTCTCAAACTCTCCGATCCATTTCAAGAACCTGAGGTAGTTATCCCATGCATGGCCTTGTTTCAATTCCTTTTACCTACTCCCAATTTGCTTTGCTTTCAGTATCCTGCAAAACTTGTAATCTTATTCGATCTACTATGTTACTAACCAATCATGAGGAAACCTTCTTTCAAAATACACATACCCCTATGCTGCTTGTCAATTTAGGTGTCGGCGGCCGGGCATTTCATCCCAAGCGCTAATTGCAATGCTTAATAGACTTCATTTTCTTCTTAAGTTTACAGCCTAATAGGTCGTTCATGAGCGTATCTTGTATTGAAAGAAGTGGTACATTTTTAAATCACCTGATGGCTTTGTTTCTTGCTGACCGTTCTTCCTGTGTGAGGAATTCGAACAAAAATATACTAAGAACACGTAGTTTAATGGTAAAACCAATGCTTCTGTTTTTGTAATAATGGAAGCAATTTGAAAACAATTTGACTTAGAAGCAAATTTATGCACACAACAAATCTTGCTCAACATTGGATCAAAAACAGTTGTGATTATCAGTAGTTAAGACATAGATGTCAGAATCATTGTATCACAGGGAGTGAATAGACTAAATGATGTGAAGATACTTTCAGGAAGTCAATTTTTCATTTGACCAATTAAATCTGATTATCACATATTTGCCAAGCCTTTTTGTGCTTTTTGATAAGTGCTCTCCATATTCTATTTTCCTCATATGTTATTTATTTTTTGCATCACATGATGGTCCTATCAAATCTGAAACCATCCCCATACACGCATTCAAAGAGATGATAAGTCAAGAGCAAAAACAATACATATATAACACTTACGATTTCCTTCGCTTGCAAAATAAAACCAGAACGCTAAGAAAGATAACACACACAACTGCACACCCCACAGCGATGCCAATCACGGCACTATTTGTCCTTGTGTCTTTAGTCCCTTTGCTTGTGGCTGATTCTGTCTCTGAAGTTGTCTGCTTGAAACCATAATAACTATTAAAAGGTACTTGTTGGTTAATTTGCTCAATAGGTGTTCTGTTCTGCGCTACCCTCATTGGTAAATGCAATTTCTTGTCAGCAAAACACTGTGACATTCCAAGTGCACACCCCTCCGATAAAGCCTCTATATATTCAATTCTCATATTCAATTATAAGACCCTTCTTTGATAAAAAAAAATACCCCTCTAACCGTACAATATATTTCAAATTTTATGAGTTTGACGAGCCTACTAGTAGGCATGATTACAAGTTCCTTGTTTCTTCAACTTTACGCGACAATCTCGGTTGCATTTTAATCAACCTACACATTTGCTCTCACAGGTAAGGGTATGTGAAGATGCTCATACCTGGGTTAGGTAAATTGTCTCCTTAGTGCCCGTCGTTATAGGGATCTGTCGAGATAAAAAATTAAAATGGATAAATATCGTTTTAAGAATTTGCTAAATAAAGATATTTCTATGGCTATAGGAAAAAAGTGAAGCTGTCGAGTGATCCTCGTCATATAATCCTTCAAAATACTGAGTACATCTTTTCGACCAAACCCTCTATTCCGCTTTCAACTTGGATCGAGATTGAACTAAGGAGAAAGCAGCAATTGAAGTGTAACAGAGCAACGGGAGGACGATTATGCATATAGAGATAAGGGCAGGAAACTCAATCACACGTACTCACTATGTTTTCTCAGAATAACTTAAATGGTGTTGGTAACTTTAAATACAGTAAACTAGAATTTTCCAACAGCCCAACGCGATGTGAAATACTTTTAGATCACGCGCACACTTTCCACTTCTAAATCAGGGTTGTGATGATATAAAAAGTTTGCTATGGTACCTATTTAAAGTATATCTAAGGTAATCGTACCGCAGAAGGTGATGAATGCAGTAAAGATGAAGCTGCAGGACTAAGTGTTGACCCCACCAAGTGCTCTACGGGACCTGAAAATCAACCAGATCGGTTAAGAGATACGTTCATTTAAGTCTGTTCGCCACACCCATTCCTTACGTTAAGGATGACCTCGGCAAAGGCGTTCATCATATCGAACAGAATCTATGGTGTAGGCTTTGATGCATAACAAACCAGTTGAGAAAATGAAAAAATATATATTTTAACTTATAGAAAGTTGATAAAAAGGGTCTGGTGGACGGAAGCTGAATAACATCATCGACTTTGTAAGATGCTAAACAGCGTGAAAGCTTTGAGAAAAGCGCACAATTTTTCTAAGCAATCCGTCTGAAAGTATTTCATCTGCTGAACTTCAACCGTTACAAAAACAGACATTCTATACAAATTAACCTTTCAATTTCCATGAAAGTCTTCCAAACGCGAGGTTACAGGTGATATTTCCTTCCAGTTTGAAGAGTAGGCAGCCTTCTTTGATGCCAGAAGGAGGCTGGGAGCAGCTTACTCCCAGATTTATTATTCTTCCCTGCAAAATGGCGATTGGATCAACCACCTATTGGTTAGAAAACAAAGCAAAATCTATTTTTCTTTAAAAAATGAAATTGCTTAGGATTATGAAAACGAGAACTCATTTGGTCGTGGATACGTTTCTCTTTAAGTGATTCATAACGACAAATCTGATTGAGCTCCTATAATAATCTATAAAAAAAAATCGGAAAATCCTGGGCTATCCATGGATCATAGTTCTTAATAATCCAAGAATCGTATTGCTCCTTTCATCGTGGCCAATGAACAGAGTAATCGCACACTATTTATTTGGAGTCTTAATAAACGAAAACAATAGCATGTTTGATTCAAATAAATAGTTCTGGTAATTAGTTATATTACCCAGCTAAAGCTGACAATTAACCGACTTTTTAAAAGGAGTGTGTTACACTAAGTTACATTGCCACAGGGATCTGGAGGCATACAAGTTCTTTTTTTATTTTGGTGGTATTATCAGCGATTACCTTCTTACAAAAGGCTGGGGAGGGATCACGAGCACGTCAATAGACCACTTGTGAACACCCTTGACTTAAATGATTTCAGGGAAAAAAAACAATGATGATATCTTTCTTGAATGGAAAGCTTCGTCGGGATCAGAAGTGTCAATTTTTAAGGAGAAGAATAAAAATAGATAACCTGATACCTCAAAGGTTGAGCGAAAATTTTTAATCACCTTTAAATAGTATGCCTTACTCTTGTCACTCCATTCAAGGACAAAGATTTCCTTTGTTCTATTAGTAAGTCTGTCAACTGGAGTCTTTTCCCCGTGACATCCAATGACCCAGGAAGAACTAATGTTTAAAACACAGGTCTCCTTCTTGTATAATGCTGTTTTTCTTCCCCAGCTCGGCTGAGTGCTTAGAGTGTATACTTCATGCCACTCTCTTTCATAATGAAATAAGGTGTTGTTCACACATCCTGTTCATAGAGGTAAAACAGAAGAAAGTTACTTTAACTGCACGTGTATGCAATTCGCTGAGAAGGTGTTCAATTTTGTTTGAAACAATGGGATAAACAAACAGATACATTACTGAAGTTGAAACATAGCGACATAGAATTTCTAGGGATCAGGGTAATATTCTTTAAATTTAAACAGAGAAAACTTAAAATATAGGAAAAAATTTTGCTCGGACAAAAGCATAACGGCGCAGAACCGGCGAACGCAGAGTTGCATGACCAGCTAACAAATCAGGCGAAGGTTTAGCTGACAGATACCTGATCCATATCCGAGACATAGAGCGCTCCTCTTGGTCATTTTGACTTGAAATGGAGGGTGAAACCTTCAGTGGCTTATTACTTCTTCTCGATTTTCAAATTCGTATTCCAGAAACTCAAGTCTAAAGTGCCACAACAAATACAATGAAATTTCCACAATAATTCGCTCTTGGTGATGAAATTTGTCCTTTATTTGCAAACCAAAAAAATAATGACCTTTGACAGAGCAACAGAACAGTCGCGATCGATTTTGTCAAATCTCCATTTGTCCAAGCGATATTTTAACATCAGATATCAATAAAGAGTTGCTGTTGCTATTAAAAATGTAGTTAACACCCACTAATTAACTCTCCCGTAAGCGGACATTCACCCTATTTTTCTTTGGTGTCGTTGGGAATAATTCCCAAGGAGGACAGCTCTACTAACGGACTCGTTTTCCAATTCCCAAGGGTACCCGCTTACCATACGAGAAAGTTTTCCGACTGTATTTCCCATTTCCGTTGTCATTCGAATTACGAAACACCTATTCTCATGTTTCGATATTTATCATACTCACCGAGTTTATTTCGCACCAACTTATTCTCCAGACACATCCAGGTGTTATTTACATACGTGACAGTGGCAAATTTATGGGAACAGCGACACAAGTACTGGTCTTTGGAGTCATCTTTTGTGCACGATTCGTTACAGTAGTTACCACCAGTTCCAATTTTCCCTTGGTAACAAGTCGACGACGGAACAACAAACCAGTCAAACACCTTTTTCCAAGTTTGTGGGTCTTTAGGCTGCGAAATAAACCTGTTGATCTGGATAGATTCTGGGAAAGAGACATAGATGGAAGATAGAAAGACTACCGTAAAGAATTTCGCTCGTAATTCCTTCATTTTCTTTAACCACTCAAGCATGCACGCCGCATGACTCCTTATTTACTTCGCTTTCGATTTTAGTCAGTAGTTAAATAATTACCACTATGAGTGATATCCACTAGGTGTCGCGTTACATGATATCTGCTATCCGAAGTCGTAATCTGCACTGAAATTTGAACTGGACTGGCCTGTGCTTGCCTGACACTAACGCCTTAGCCGGACTTAGGAAGAAAACATCCCATACATTAAAAAGATATTTCAAATAATCAAAATATTTGTAATGAAAACAATTTTAAGGCAGGGAATGAACCATATAGAGTGCTGCCATCTCTGTCATCCGGCAAGGAAAATAATATTCGGTTTTGCTGGAAATTAAAAACAAGGATCGGACTCACAACTGAACTCCGAACTAGACTGGATTGATACTGATACTCCAACTTTTTAGATGAAACTATAAAATTAAGAAAGGTGTAAAGAATGAAAAAAAGTTAAATTTTAGCTAAGGTAGCCCCCTAACAGTCTCTCAGTCAGTGGACACCTGTAAATAATCATAAGCAGAGGTGTATAGCACAGTGGAGGTGGAACAAAAAAAAAAAAGGATAGACCCGCTATTGAGCTCGCCTCTATTAACTGAAAACCTATAACATATAAAACAAGAATACAAATTATTCAAGAAATTATAAACTGCAGTTTATAAACTCTTGCAACAAAGGATTCAAAAATCCTAATGTAGACTATGACACTACATGACTACGAAATTTACTGTTTCCGATAAGTGAAAAAAAGAAATTATGAACTAGGATTTTTTAGGTTTGTGCCAATATGTGATATAGTATTTCATTCCAATAGAAATTGAACTGAACACAAGAAAAAGATTAAACTTGTACTTGACTTCTGGCGAATGAAGTTGACGGGAAAGCAGCTGAACATCCTGAATGAGGGCTCCCAAAAACCCAACACTTGTCCTCCAATTTTTTCACAGAAGCATTACGGTGTCTTCACCATCATGAAGAACAGTGAGGTCACTATAACTATTGCCGCAGTCAACTCTTGGTATCAAATTACAGAAAATGCTTATTCTAAAAATCAATAGCCAATCTTTTGCCCATGAGCTCCGCGAAAAGCAACGCTTTTGCACACAAGTGTGATACTGTTTCACCTTAACTGTGCTTCGCATCTTTCAAAACGTTCCTATTTTGCGTGAAATTTCGGAATTAATTGCTGAAACCAAGTTTAGATCGCGGCATCAAAGAGTGAGAATTAACCACACTCACGATGTCAGGCAACTCATAACAATACCGAAGTAAGATTTTACGCTAAAGGGAGACTTATAGGTGCTTCATTAACGTCAGCTCAGCTTACAAGGACCCTCGAAGGGTGGAGCAACATCAGTTGGCATTTTCCACATTTCAGCCTTTTTGTCCAGAGATGTTATCATCAATTCTACTTTTTTGTTCCTCTAAACATTTCTTGTAATTTATCGAGTCACGTACAGTCACGTTGCGTATTAATTTGTCACTAGTTCATTGGTTTTGTACACCTATTGTTTAATTGACTGATATGTAGATTGACATGAGAACAATTTTATGTAATATCATGTGCGTTATATGATAAGCTTGAATTATGCACGAATTTTGATTTGTTTTTACTAAGGATCTATCGAGAGATAGACGCATTGATGATGTCACGTACCATAAAAAATATTTTACATTTTTTCATGTAAAACAAATAGATTCCATGTAGCCTGCAGAGCAGGCGTAATTTTGGGGAGCGAGTGCTCAGTATTTTCTTATCGAAAATTATAGTCGCCATCTTTGATTTTAATGGCAGTGGAAGGCTGGGGAGAGAAAGAAAATAAAAAATAAGGAGAAGGGTAGGGGGCGAACGGAGTTTTGCAAAATAACAATGTTCCCCGACCCCTACCTCACATTGTCCACTCTAACTCCAAATCAAACATGACCGGTCGGATAAACGATCGCGAGCCTATAAGGTTAGCTCGCACTAATAAGACGCTTGCACTACAGACTAGATTCCATATTGCAGTGGGTCTGTTAACCCTTTGACTCCGAAGATCTCATTAGTAATTCTCCTTACTGTCTGCCATATAGTTCTGGTGATGTCTAGTTTTTCTTGTGATGTTAGGTATTGGATCAATTAATAATCCCCTAACTGATATTTTTCTTTATTCTTATCACTTGTCTGCTTGATATTGTATTGATATTGTAAGGAGAAATTCTGTCTTGGTCACACATAGTAGTTAAAGGGTTAAGTAATAAATCATAGAAGACGTCAAAATGTGATAAGAACATCAGTAACAACTTTTTTTTATTCCCAACACATTTTGACGTGCTCTGTGATATATTACTGAACAGATGCACGCAAACATGGAAACTATTTGCTAATTCTGTTGTGACTGAAGTTCTGTCAGTTTAAAACTCTTAAAGAAGATACGCCCGCGATCAAAGAGGATAAAAAGTGTGCTCTGATCCTAAGGTGGTGTAAGCCTATCTCGAAATTCTTTTGGTGCGTCGCTTGGGTGGAAGGGATATATCCATTATTTGGGAATTGAAATGCTGTAGTCTTGTAAAGAAAGTGGAAAAAGGAGTCTTTTTTGCTACTCATCTTACTCGTGCACAAACCGTTGCAAACAGGCCAGTGACTGGAAATTGTGTGATGTAAACCTTTGTTGACTGGGCTCATGCTTCATAAGGATAAACTAAGTTTCGGTCCACTTAAAAATTCTGAGATCTGGCTCGCACCTCTCCCTTCAGCCTGGTATACACATCCTTGTTAATGTACCGGTAGAAATGAAGGTATATCTAGATACACGTAATAAGCTGTCTCTCAGAATTTTGCATTCTCAGTATCAGCCTGTCTTTTTGCTGTTTTCTATCTAATGATTTATATATATATATATATATATATATATATATATGTATGTTTATATATATATATATATATATATAGGAAGTCTGCAGGTCGATTTTCGCGTGGAACAGTGCTCAATACGTTGAAGCAGAGCAGAATAAATATTATGAGAGGAAAAAAGGACGTAACTACATTTCCCGACAAGCCTGTTTCGTGAATCGCTTCACTCTTCAGGGGTTTAAGTATGTATGTATATATATATATATGAAAACAAAGTTACTGACACCCTTATTATTGTAAGCACACACTGAATATTACCAAAGGATGAGAACTGTGATAAATTGTTCGGAGGCATACGTGCTATTATACTTAAATCCATGTGATATAAGGAGAGATCAGTGTTTTATTGTATAATTTTTTTCTTTATAATAAGAATAATAATAAAGTCACTCTTCCCACCTTGATTGATCCTTGTAAATTTACAGCTAAAATCATCGCCACTGGTTTCCAACAGAAGAGTTTATCTCAAATTTAGGCAAATTTGGTAAATCTTTGGAGCAACAATAGATTTCGCTTTATTTAATTTGAAAAATCTGTGACGAGTACAAAGTTTGGAACATTCATACTCGCACAGTATAACGGAGAGTTATATAGAGAAAACACAGTGAAATTTGATTTATTAAAATGTATAGTTCTCTATTGAATTTAAACAGCTCGAGAATATTTGAACAAATATGCTACCTTTTTTTCATATATTAGCAACTGCAAATGAAATCTTCTGACTAAAATTTCGTATTCTCATTTTTACGGTCATCCATCGCAAGGTAGGATAACAACTTCCTTGTACGTGCTCGAATTACCCCGTTGAGGACATTTGTCAGTCACAGTCGGCATTATTCCTAGTATTATTAAATTTCACGGAAAGAAAAAAAATGCGTTTCCTCTTGATGATGTGACTAGACACATCCTGTGTATGAAATTCAGGCGTAAAGTTTTACCATCATTATTTAGTACACTACATGCAAAATGATTATTCCCAGCAAAATTACCACTTCGATTGCCAGAGGCAAAATTTAAGTAAACCCACAGCTCACTAATTAAACTTTAACATTCTATTACGCAAAATAGACCCTGTCTGGAAACGCGAGAGTGATCGATAATTTCAGTTCTACGCACAAAAAAAAATTCTCCAAACATGTTATTTAATTCTACAGCACCACATGGAAGTAGAAGTATACCCAATAACGTTTTATCCACCAGTCGCTCGGGTGGAGTGATTAGAGAAAAATGATTCTTGGAGTTACATGGTTTAAATTTTAAGCCTTGAAATTTGATCTTTCAATTTTTTTTTTGAATTATGCTCTCTTTGATAATATCCATCATCATGATTAAAATCACATGAGTTCAATTTTCTCGATTGTTTGCACAATGTCGACAGTTCACCTCACAAGTAATTGAAAAAATCATCCAGGGAGTACACAGCCGACGCAAAATACTTTTGAGACAAGCATATCATGAAATAAACGATTAACACAATTTTGTAGGGAAATCTAACACTGACAACCTTTTCCGCCCTCTAAATGCCATCTAATGTCATTCGTCGAAAAGAGGACTAAAAATTTTGACTATTTGTAACCAAAATATCATATTAACATACAGTTCGATTAATTATATTCCATTTTCTTGTACACCTTGAACAAATAATTATGACAAGACATATTAGTCATATCTACAAAACCTGTAGCTTGCCAACACGCAATTCTTTTCTTTCATCTTCAGTTATTGCTCTATTAATAAAAGTTTGTCTTAAGTTTTGCTAGTGTACATCATCACATGATGATCCACAATTAGGGTTTTCTGATTTCTCGCCTACTAAAACTTTGCTTTTGCTTGAATCTAACGTGAATGAATCTACAGTATGTGGGAGCAACAGTAATTAATCATGTCTTTGTCACTTAGACACAAGTTCAGTAATAGTTCTATTACTTTATCTTCACTGAAATCTAGGCAGAACGCGTCAGTAATTAAGCTAGAAATGAAGAGCTCCATTTCGCTGAGACATATGTAAGCGTATGTTGAGTACACCTCTAATGGACTTTATACGGCGTCGATTGATTTAAGCTTATCATAGCGATAAGAAGGAATATTTTTGGAATATTCCGCCAGCGTTGTTTGGGAACACGTGGTGAATTGTGTACATTATTATCAGGAAGTTATCGCATACGTTAAGGAAGTGTCGTGCGATGGCAGAACCTTGTATTGATATGATCTTAATCATGCAAAATATAAACAAACGTGAAAGCTTTCTTTATCCAAAATCCGGCTGCTATAAAGAATGGAAAGATTATATTCAGAAAATAGACCTGCAACATTGTCGTTTTAAAAGACTTTATTATTGCAAACTGTGAATTCTAAATATAACTTTGGAAATTAGAATGGTTCTGTGTAAAGATGTTCTCTGCAGAAGTTTTTGAAGCGTGTCTTCGTATTCACATCTCGACGAGCCGGAAATTTCGTCTTGTGCTTCAAAGAAAAATTGTTTGCAAGAGCTGTCAAAACCGCAATTTATTTTCAATTATAACTTCATTAAACATCATTCCGGTCATACGGAAATTACACAAGGATTTCTTTTGTTCTTGAGGCATTAAAAAACGCCTTCTTCACGGTCACCCATCTCATACCCGCTCGGTTATCAAGAAGAAACGCATTTGAATTATATTTCGATAAAGAACTCCGTTAACTTTAGTTATTCAAGATGAACTCAAAAGTAATCCTGGTTTTTGCTCTCTTTGTCCTCGCTGCGTCGTTCTTGCCAGAGAGTGAAGGATTCACAGCTGGAGGCGGAGGAAACATTCCTCATACACAGGGAAGACGAGCACTCGAAGTAGGTTTTTTTTTTAATGAATAGTAGTGTTTGAAGCTTACATTGAGTATCGCTGGTTAATATGGATTAATTATTTCAGTATACGTTACAGTCCATTGTAAATTCTTTTTATTTATTATAAAATCGATAGCATTTCCTTTTGTTTTCGTTTATGGACACTATCGCTTCTGTAAGGAACAGTGTGAGTCAGAAAAAGATTTTTCTCCTAGAGCAATTCCAATATGACTAAGCATGGTTAATAATGTAAATGTTGTAGATGGTGTTGAGTTTTATATTTTTACAGAAGCAATTTTGTGTTAATAAGAAAGCTAACATCATCATTATCAAAGATCACAAGACATTGATAAGTTTTTGCTATAGAAAAATGAGTTATTTTGAACGCGAAACAATTTTATCTGACGTTTCCTAAATTTTTATTTAAAATGACTTTTAGCTCCTTCATATAGCGAGATATTTTTTCAAGAAGAAGAAGCCTAACGAGAAGAGATACCCAGATGGTAAAATGTTCTCTAGACATTTTCAACAGCGTTGATTTTGGATGAGAATTGGAGAATCGTCAACACCATTAGCGCCACTTAAAATAGAAGGTTTACCAAAATTTTGAAGGAAACGATCTGATTTGATGGGATTCGAAGATTTCAATCATTTTACACTCTTATTAGAATTTTATAGTAATGTAATCACTTATTAAAAGGGTCATTTAGAGAGAAATTCAATTTAAAATTATATTATATCACTGCGAATGAAAATTGGATGCTGTCCTACATTTACCAAACAGTCTGACTTTGTAACTGACGTCAAAAAAAAACAGTGCTATTCACTGTCTTCACAAAAAAGACCGTTTTATTTATTCTAAGCTGGTAAAAGTTCATGAAGACTTAGTCTCGATGAATAATTCTCGAAGTCTAAAGTATGATTTTGACGACCTCATTTACGTTAATGATTCATTTTTTATTTATATGTGAAGATAATCTCTAACATGTATATGCTATTACCCTCAAGTCATTGGATTGAGCAGAAGAAAGTAAATTGGTTTAATTGAAAATCAAAAAGAAAACTTTACAAAAAATCCGCACCTAGGGGTGATGATAAGAACTCAAAAGGCTTTTAAGATTGGTTGACATCAGTTAGGAATGATTGATAAAACAAAAAAAGAGAGACCTGACGAAGCTTTGTGTTGAAGTTTTTTTTTCGTTTTAGAAGATTAAATTCAGTTCTACTTTCGGTTTTTTCGATCCAGTTTTGGATGTGGGAAGATCAATGAAAGCACAGTTAGCGAGGAGGAGTGGACGTTTTCCCACTCATTTTATGTTCTACGCACATTAATATGCTTTTGACGGCGGTTCAATTAAATATTACAAAAGATCTCACGTTCGCTGCCTTTTTTTCAGCACCAACTGGCTGGAAGGGCTTTTTGTCAGACGGCCAGGGAGCACTGCAAGAAGGAGCTCATTTACAATGACAAGGAATGAACCACGCAACAGATGTGATTTGGTACCCTGCCAATTATGGAGTTGGGCCTGTTGTTCTTTGTTTTTAAAATCATCATTCTATATAGAAAGAATGTACTAAAGTTATTGACCAAAGTGATATGAAAATCTTGTTAGCAGAGTCTGAGAAAGCCAAAAATAAACTATTTTGAGTGCATCCTTTCTGTTCATCTTCGTTGTTTTAACCTACGAACTCATCGAGTGTCAGTAGGTACGAGGTAACAAATACAGTTTGTGCCCTTTTGGCGGATTGCTACAGCCCTAGATAAAGAGATAATTTTTAGAAGCCTGTGAGGGTTTTTTCTTTCATAGAAACAAAGGAAGGAAGACAAAGGCAGAACATGGAAAAAGCCAATTTTAATAATTTCCTATTCAATATACCCGGCAACAAAGTGCAAAAATTTTAGTTATGTAAAATTTCCTCCTTGTTCATAACGTCAAACCCTATATTGAGAAAATGCTGTAAAAACAATTTAATTGTGACCTCAAGGTCTCACTATATGAAGGTGCCATTTTCTGAGAAGCCAAAAATAACTGTAAGGGTGAAAAGTGGCTTACCGCCCTAGGTGCCGAAAGAGAGAAGTTTTATTCAGCGAGAGCGAAAACAGGGAAAAGTTTTCCAAAACATACTTACACCCCCTGGGAGGGTTTCGCTCCACCGAAACGATGAACACAATTTATTATGCATGCATGCAAAAACCGTGGGTATTTTGGATAAATAATACGAATTCTCGTCGACAACTCGGATGCTTTTAATTCGGTTTAAATTTAGAGGCATTAAGAATCATTACGAAGCGGAACAGGTGTTGTCAACAGCTAAACAACGTATTCCTCCCTCAGGCATAAAGAACTATGTAAACACACGGATTTAACAATCGAAGCGGTTCATTGAGGAGGAGAATTTCATGCGATCAACTCGAGCTTCATACCGTCATTTACAGCCGAACAAAGGTGAATCTCTGATTTCATTCAGACTTAGAATTTCGTTCTTTATATCGATCTTTCAACAACGATTTATTACAGAATAATGAAATAATTAAGACAAGCTTGTTAAATCTAAACACTGCCTTCACGAGGGTTAATTTGTGTTTTTTTAGCGCATGTAGCTTAAGTTTAAATTGTCGAGCGGTAAAAAATTAACCGGCGTTAATAATTTTGAGAGCAGAAATCATTTTTTACCTTTTTTAGTATGAGCGTACATCACCTTTGAATTCACTGGGCCAATATTTGCTTTTTGCTTGCCGCTTTTAAATGCTCAACATCATTATTCCTCCTTCCCAGAGCAATATTTGCGTGTATACAACGCTTTGTGTTAGAGAGCAGTTTTGAATCAATCATTTAACCGGCTTGTTTAAATTTTGATTAAAGAATCTGAAATATAATTGTGTGTTTAACTGAAAAATGGTGAATGCCTACATAATCAAAACAACAACGTAATTCTTATCTGTCTCTCAAAGAGCAAAGGCCTCGCTACACTAAGAAATATATTTAGAATTGTATTTTCATAATAACCAGAGACTGACGTAAACACCGTTGAAATGCCAGTGTCAGTAAGCGCGCAAGATGGGCCAAAAGCGAGTGGACTTAACCTGAAATGTGAACAAAACTGTACACGACCAACAGCGCAAAGCTTCTGTGCCTGCGTGGCTAGAGGTTTTGCGTGCGCTTTGAAGTGTCATACGGTAGAGTCGAGCGATTAAGTCGCGAGGGGTTTGAGACGAAGACTTTCTCATCACTCCGTAAAGCACAATGAAAAAAACCCTCAGTTACTTACGCTGTATTTTCCATGATTGCGGTTTATTTAGAGCCGAAAAAACAGATATAAACTATTGCACTCTTATGATGTCACTATAGTAATTCTCTTCACTGTCTGCTATACAATTCTTATGATGTTAGTTTGGAGAATTTGGTATCGGATCAACTAATAATCCTCTAATTGATTTTTTCTTTATCGTTATCACTTTTCTGCTTGATGTTGTGTTGATTTCATAACGATAAATTTTGTCTTGATTATTCTCGGGAGTTATAACTAAATGGTCAATGACCTCTAATGACTAAGAGAGTGCCAAGTAGAAAAATATGGAGATCACTCCAATTTCTGGTTTACTTTAACATGCCTAGTACACTAAAATCAGACACGCTGAGGCCAGATGCACTTGCACCAAGAGAGCAGAGAAGGGCGTCTGTGGTTGGCACGTTTATAAATCTACGATGAAATCTGGATTCGCTAAACTACCAGGTATGACGTATAATAATGTCGCATAATTCGTAACCACTTTCATATTTTTCACTGAGTCAAGGAGGAAATAAATCATGATCCAATACTAAATTAAAATTTCCTATTTAGTCTGGATTTTTGTCTTGCGTTTCCCAAATACTGATGATCTACCGAATTCTTTAATTCGTTTCAGTTCCCTTGTGTAATTTCAAGGTCGTTTCCCTTTGACAGCATGCCAGCAATTTTGAAAGATTTCGTTGGGAGTTCATTTTACGGACTGCGAGAATTTTGCGCAGCTAAGATTTTTTCTGGCGATCAGTTTCCATAGAGTTCTCGCTGAGACGCTTCTCTCTTTGGTACTTTTAACTTTCGACCTTAGTTCATTAAAATGACTCACTTGCTACTGAGCCCTAAGCAAGCCACTCTTCGAACCGTTTTGAAGCAGCCTGTTCAGTTATACGAATGATTATCCGATTCTTCTAGAATCCATAGTACAGACTGTTTCAATTTGTCAGTGCTCAGCCTCGATTTTTTCGATGCAATCAGCTTCCTTGGGTTTCCAGCTAAGGCGCCATTCACTTTAGCACTCCTTACTTCCGTCTTGAATTCAGTCAGTAGGCTCCTCAGATCGTTTTTTAGCATTATCTTTCCGTATTACAGCACCTCTGCGAAATGTGATTCCCTGGTAACGATTTGCACAGTTTCTTTCCTCACTATCAGTTGGTTTTAAGGCGTTCAAGTCCACATCTTCTGTGCTGTCACCTGACTCGCCTCTGGTGACAAAAATATCAGAAATGCATGCTGGTTTATTTGGACATTCGAGGGCGCGATCAGGTCCCTTTAAAGAATTTTGATCGTTGTTTTCCAAAGAGTTTGGATTTACATGTAACTCCTCCAACGCGCTTGAAACTTGTTCTCTTAACGCTATGTTGCCCCTTAAATACATTTTAAGTTCCATCCAGGATTTATATTCTGGTTCATCTGGACATTCAAGGACATAATCGGATCTCTCCAAAGAATTTCGTTTTGAATGAACGCGGTCAGTTCGACCCAAAGAATTCGGGTTTGAGCTTATTAAATCCTCTAATGCGCTAGACCCTCCTCTTTTCAGCGGTGCGTTTTCACTTAGATAACGTTCCATCGAAGAGTTGTAATTTGGTTTATTTGGAAATTCAACGATTCGTCTCAAAGAATTTGGATTTGAGGTTAATTTCTCCAATACGCTAGGACCTCCTTCGTTCAGCGTTGCGTTGTCCCCTGGGTAACAATCCATCGAAGAACCGTTATTTGGTTCATTTGTATAATTAAGGGCAGGATTAGCTCTATGCAAAGAATTCGGATCTGAATGAACGCATTTGGGTCTTCTTAAAGAACTTGGATTTAAACTTAGTTCCCCCAATGCGCCAGAATCTTGTCTATTCGGCGCTTTCTTGCTCCTAAGATAACGTTCACCCATGAAACGGTACTCTGGTTCGCTTAGACTTCCGAGGGCAGAATCAAGTCTCTCCAGAGAGTTTGGATTTGATTGAATGCAAATGGTTCTTTTAAGAGAACTTTGTTTTGAGCTTAGTTCTTCCAATGCGCTGAAACCCTGTCCAGTTAGCGCTACTTTGGCCCTTGAATAGTTTTCCATCATAGGACAGTAATCTGGTTCATCTGGACATTCAAGTGCGTATCCAAGTCTCTCCAAAGAGTTTGTATTTGAATGAACGAAAGATATTCTCCCTAAACTGTTTGGATTTGACCTTAGTTCTTCCAATCCACTAAAACCTTGCCTGCTCAGGGCTACGTTTCCCTTGAGATAATTTTCCATCATAAGACAGTAGTCTGGTTCATCTGGGCTTTTAAGGGCACAATCAAGTCTCTCTAAAGAATTCAGAGATGAATGAACGCAAGCGGTTTTTCGTAAAGAATTTGGATTTGAGTTTAATTCCTCCAAAGCGCTTGGACCTCGTTCGCTCAGAACCACGTTGCCCCTAAGATAAAGTTCTCTCCAGGAACTGTACTCCGGTTCATCTGAACCTTTTAGGGCACAGTCAAGTCTTTCCAAAGAATTGGGAGTTGAATGAACGTAAGAATTTCTTCTTAAAGAATTTGGACTTGAGCCTAATTTCTCCAAAGCGCTAAAACCCTGTACATCCAGCACGTTGACATACTGAGACGGAATGTTTGACCTTCGAAAATAGCATTCCCCTAAATCTCCGTTGGTAGACAGACGACCTAAACTTGATTTTCTTGAAGAATTAGAATTGATACGCCTTATCGTGTTATCAAGTGTGAAAGGGAAAATTTGTACGTAATGATCAGCGACCTCAGATTCTTCAAAGAAGCGTTTGTCCAGGACCTTGTGCCTCTCCATGTAGTCACATCTAGGGCCATCATTAGAAGGAGTTGAGGAAGCGTCCTTAGGAAGTGTCTCTAACCGGTTCAAAATATCACCTCTAGGGGACACGAACACATAATGATCAGGCACTTTTGAGCTCTTAAAATAACGCCTATCCAAAACGTTGTATATTGAATCATTTTTGCCCGTGCCATGTGACGAACCGGACCGACGTGGATAGACTTCGTCTAAGGTACAGTAAATTGGTTCTTCTAATGAAATGGTACCACGCTGAGGAGGTTTCTCTGTATCATCGAGATAAGGTCCCTCTAGGACATAGTAAAATGGCTCTCTCTTGTTGCAGTGTGTACTGGCATCATGTCTATTTTTTTCTGAGGCATGGTCAAGAGGTTTCTCAGGTTTTTCTAAAACGTGATAAAAAGGTTCTGGATGAAATTCAGCCGCGATTGTTGGAATGTCAAGCGGGGCGTACAAATGGCTGGTGCTGTCTTCTTCCTCAAGTGAACCGTTTACATGAGATTGATACAGGTCGGTTAGCCATGCTGGAACACTGTTTGTCGACGTCCGTTGCGCTGAAAATTAAAGATACAATCAC